TGCGCATATCTGACACAACTGCAATCGAAAAATACACCTCTGTACTCTGGCTCAATGCCCCGCCTACAGCCATACTGGATTGCTTGAAATGTGGATGACTCATCGAGTACAGCCAACCAGCAGTTCTGTACAGTCTCTGTGTCCCGCTCGTGTCCAGTAAATCTAATCAAACATGCTTTTCAGTGTTTGTGAGAGATGTGGGAGGAAGTAAAAAAGCACTGCCATCACTTCCACAGCAAGAGGAAAGGTAAAAAGCCAGACAAACGTGACACGCATGCAGCTCGAGTCCTGCCCGAAACATCACGTGTTTGAGAGTGAGGGTTCTGTGTGCAGAGCAGAGACGCTGTTCTGTAGTAATTTGAACACATTCAGAATGTGAGCGCCTACAGTGGAGCTTCAGTGGGCCAGCAATGCAGACAAGCCTCCAGAAAGCCGTAAACTATTTGTAAAATCATAATGTACCATTTTACATGTAATAAATAAGTTATACATAATTTCTGGTCATTTTAAAGTATAGACAGCAGCTTCTCGCTACTTCCAAAGTTCCACCTCTCTGCTTAGACTGTACAGGCCGTTTCCATCGTATCATGCAGCGAGGAACAGCCTATATCTGGTACACTCAACACGTCCAAATACTGCTTGTTATCGCATGAAATACATTTTGGCTGAAGAACAAAATGAAATAAACACAGTACCATTCATATTTCCTCACTGTTGTTGCTTTTTACAAGGTAGTGACCATTTTTACTGCATGACTGCTCAGAGGCTTACTGTAATACTTTCACTGTAATATATTTACCGTTCTATGTATTTGGTTAGTGTAGGCTTTACATAGTTTTACTGTGTACCAATTATGGTAAATGAATATCGGTCCCAAATATCGGTTATCGGTGATCTTGATAAACTGATAATCTCTATCAGTACCAGCCCTGAAAAAAATTTATCAGTCGACTCCTAATAAGATGTTGATGATATTTAGTGGAAATGCATCAATACCATTTTTTTTTCCAGACCAATTACATGTACACATTTTATGGTACCACACTGAGTAACCTACTTAGAATTAAATAGTTGTTAGTGTAAATGAGTGCAATGTACCTTAAAAGTTAAATTATTTAAATCTAGCCGTGCATTAGCTAGCTATGCTACATTAATTACCTTTAATCGGGAGCATTGCAGTGGAGAACAGCGGGTTTTGTTCCACATCAGAAAAGCACTTCTGTATAGCTGTAAGTAAAGTAAGTTTCATAGTTTTGATCCTCAGCTGCCTTTTTCAACAACAGCCTCTGTAGCATAGTGACAGCAGGAATCACAGCCAAGGTTAATGTAATCGAGGGGCTCACTTGTCAAGTTTTAGGTCTTGCTGGAGTCTTTTTGCCCCTACAGACAGTTCTGTCTACGTACCATCAATAAAGCTGTTTCATTCAAATTAACACACCACATATCCAAGTACTGAGCTAACACGCTGAGAAACTGCTACAGCAGCTTGGCAAACTACACTATGCACTGAAATATACATGGTAAACAGTCTCTCTACAGGCTATTTTACAAAGACAACTTAGAACTCACCGTATTAATGTTTATACCTCTTAATTCTATTCAGTCAAACTGAGTAAAGTCAGCATTTACAGACTTTTGTGGCAAATGTCAACTTTTTCACCTCCATGTTGCTGTGTCTCCACCTGTATTGGGGAAGTGGTTGTGTGCATTTAAAAACAGGCTAAAATCGCGTGTATTCATGGTGTATTCATGGCTGGAATTTTCACCAGGCAGAATGTTTAAAGTGACCAATGTCACAGTGTCAGAAACACTTCTCTGTACGAGCAGACCCTCATTCACTGCCAGCTAGACCCCTTTGCTTATTAGCGCAGCAGCATACACTAGGCTTACATCACATATCTGGATTTTTAACAGGTCAAGTACAAATAAATGAGCATGGGATCGGGCTGATACCCAATACCAGTATCCGTACCAATACATCCCTATTATTTAGCATGTGATTTCCATTAAAGATCTTCATTAAAACAGTTAATGCTAAAAAAGCATGTATGTTAAAGACTGTATAGAATGTAGGTCTAAGCTGCAACAGAGCTGCCACTGAAACTGCTTGAAAACATCCGTGCTGACCAGCACAGGATAGCAAAAGGAACAAATCGCAGTGCATCAAATGTAAATGTAGATCACTGTGTTACTAGCTATGTAGTTAATTATGTACCTATGTAACTACCTTTAAATAATATAGTGAAACAGCAATAAGTGTTTATAATAACCTGACTATTTTTACTGATAGTTATAACTAATAACGTTATAACCAGTCATAACATAGCTCTTACTGACCATGCTTGTTTTTTTATGAGCAAAGATAGATGAAGATGAATAGCAGAAACATGAAAGGTACAGAGGTGTAAGAAAAATCTAGAGCAGAGGCCCTCTGATCTCCTGACATCCTCTCTGAAGTTAACAAGCAACACACACACACCCGCGTACACACCCAGCAATTCCTGCTTCAGAGACAAGCGATCAAGCAGCAAATCCAATCTAATTAACAGACAGAGATGCCCTTCATTCTGAACTCTTAGAGAAAAGAAAAGAAAAAAGGAAGAGAAAGAAAGAGAGAGGGAGATAAGACTACACAGAGAAATACTCATACATCTCATACTTTTTGGTAGACAGAAAGAGACATATTCTTCATACACATCCACACAGTGACTACTCAACCAAAACAGCAACAGTCATCCCTAATTTCTGCAGCCAAAGGATTCCCTCGTGGACAGAGCCCAATTACTCAGTGACTCTATTCTCAACAAGGATTACAATATGTGTGTGTCCACTGAGTTGTAATCTCTATTTTATTCATCATTATGTGTTAAAGATGGATTTTTACTCATAAAGCCATATGTACAGCAAATACCATAAACATGATTAAGCTGTCGAACACAAACATCTGCTCATACGTGCAGTCACAAGCTCATAAACGCGTTGAGTGGAGTAGCTGATGCAGAGGGGCTACATAAGGAATATTAATTTTCGGTCCTAGAGGGCCAGTGTCCAGCATAGTTTTGGTGATTTCCCTGCTCACCACACACCTGGCTCAATTCATCTATTAATTGCCAGGTTCAGGGAAATCACCAAACTGTCCTGGACAGCAGCCCTCCAGGACTGAAACTGAATCCTCCCGGTCTACATATAAATATTTACTCATGAATCATAGTGCAACAAGAATCCTCACAATTTGCTTCTGTGAAACAAAAAATAACAATGAGATTGTTTGTTCACACAAACAATAACCCAATACTACACCACTAGGACTGGGTATCGAATTCCTTTTATGGTACCTTCCAAATTACAAATGGCCCATAACTACAAATACTAGCAAAAACCAAAATATTGTTATTTAGTATCAAATTTTAATATGTCAGTCGCCGCCAGCGTGCCAACAAGCATGCTTGTTCCAAAATCTACACTGCTAATAGTCTGTCTCAATTACATTCCATATCATTAACGTCAGCATGATCAAAAAAGATGAGTAAGCTGGGTATGACGTTCGGAACCAATTTTTTTTCGAACTGATTTCAGTGTGTATTAATACCAAGAAGCTAAACAAATTTAACCTTAAAATATGTAAACAAAAAGTATGTGTCATGAAATTACCTAACAACAGATGTACACATATACTACCACTCAAATGTTCGCAATCACTGTTTTCAGTAATACAAAACCAATTTTGTTACGGATTCATGTACAAAATGATTCTACTATAATGTTGCAGGAAGCTGTAGGAAATTATAGACGTGTCCAGAATTATGAACAGAGCTGTAGATGATTCTATAGTTACTAAGAAACCTGTAAAACGCTGAGAATGGAGTTATAATAAAATTATCATCCAGAAAACCCTGCATTTTGAAAAATGGAGATCAAATCCTGTATTAAGACAATATTTTTTATATACTGCCCCACAGATTTTCAAACAACTTTAAAATATCTTCTGGTGTCCAGTAGGGCTGTACGATATTGACATAAAATGCAATGTTTGATAAAGCTGTCGGATAAATAGTGTGCCTCTGACTGGATGTGACGCAAATATAGACTTTTTGGTTTGGATGTGTAAACAGAATCTAACTAACCTCTCCTTTGACCAAAAAACAAAATATAAAAAACACAGTACTGAGTGAGAGAACAATCTTAATATTTAAAGCATTTTTACAGGTTCGTAGTTCAGGATGGAGTAGTTTTTGAGCTACGCGCATCTGCATTTTGCAGTTCGCTGTTTAGCCTAATGGTTAAGTTAGGAAGGTTCAATCCCAGCATAGAGAAGCACTCATTAGGCCTCTTACATTTTGTGTCAGCATGATCTCTTCTGTCACCACAGCTCTTGACGATGTGTTTAGCACAGAAATTCACACTTTAATAACAATAAAAATAAAACTTATTGTGCACCTCAAGTGTCCAGCTTACAGTATTTCTACCCAGCATATACAGTTATAACTGAAAAATATATTAGCAATTATTAACATGACAAGTGATTCCAAACTTTTGAACGGTAGTGTATATTTTTATATATAATATATACTTTTAATTGTGTCTAAATATAATATTAATATTATTATATTATATTAATTTTACAGCAATATATGACTTGTAACTGCATATGGCATCAGAAAAAGAATTGCTGGAGAATCAGATCAAAATCAAGGTGTCGGTATTGGTGTTATCAACAAAGTTTGAATTAATCCCCAGGCCTACACACCAGTGAAAGTTCTGCAGACATGATAATGTTCACATGATTACAATACCCACATAGCACACACCAGTCAATGTCAACATTTCAGCTGATACTGTCATCTGCAGTTTGTTAAGCTCGTGCATGATGATGATGCCTTTGCACTGTGTATGTGTGTAAATATGTGTGCAATTTTATGTAGCGTATTGTGTTCTGTTACTGTTGCACCCAAAAAATCTATTACACAACACACAAACTTCCGATGAAGGAAATAACTTACTCTGATTCTCCTCATAGCAGCAACAATCTCCATACGACTGTTAGGTCTTGGGACATCCAGACTACCAACATACTGCAAAACAAATGAAAATATGAAAATTACTCACATATACTGGGTGGCTCCTTTTAAAACCTCAACAAACAAAAACCTCAACAAAAATGACTACATCCACCTTATAACATCACATAAGAACGTAAATATGTAACATGTTAATATCTGTTTACTTCAAACTGGTGAAAATCAAAAAGCAAACATGGATAAACATTTTGAAAATGCAAAAGCCTCACATAGTCTTTCAGTGCATTTCACTTTATCAGTTCTGCTATTCTCTAGCCCTTTATCTGTGGTCTGTTTCTGACCATGGTTTTCGTTTGGAAACTTTGGTGTTCAAACAAAGGAAGTGCATCAGATGGCGTAATTGATGTCCATTCTCCATGACAAACTGTCACATATCAGAAAAAATAAAACATAAAATATAAAATGTACCATAACTTCTGCATAGACCACATTTTATGTTTTTTTTTGTAGAGAATGCAGAGGATGCGTTAACTTATTTTCACTTAGAAAATCAACAAAACGTCATTTAGCCAGGGTTGCCCAAACTTTTGTATATGACTGTTATGTAATAGAGGTGTCACAATATGCAAGATAATACTCAATTTTTTTCATTACAGAGGTTGCAAGACAAGACATGTGTGATACCAGGAATAGTTTCTATAGTTAAATTTAACACAGTTCATGATATTCCTAAAAGTGATAACCACAAAAAAACTCTGCTGTACAGCTCCTGGGACAAACACTGTACTATGAGTTTGGTTACCCGTTAGATTACCTTGGCTTGATTAGCCAAACTGTTTGAAATGATGATCAGAGATAGCAAGACTGGGCTGGAACAAGTAAAATCACCCTAACATTTATCCTCTGTGTGAGAACACTTCAGTTTCCCACTCGAATATAACAGCGATGGGCAAAGAGTGGTAGACTTGAACAGAGACTGTGTGCCAACGTTGCTCAGTGTGAGTTGCAAATACCTGCGCTAATAAGTAAAACACTCAACATAATAACAGATATGACACATAATAACAGATGTTTACCAAACACACATGTGCAACATGTAATACAGATTTTGCACTTTTGTTATTTTTTTTAATTATATGTCTTCTAAAAAATGGCACAATAAAAAGCACTGCTGTTGTTTTGGGACAACCAAAATAGAATTTGGAATTACCAATGAATGAATATGAATGAATGAATGAATGAATGAATGCATCTGAAAGGTATGTTACCATTTCTTTTTTAATTCTGTATCAAAAACATTCTGTATCATGATGCAAAAACAATACATATCATATTGTATAATTTGCTTATCATTACATCCCTAGTATTTAACACAACGTGTCTCATTCACCAACCATTCTTAAGAAGAAATGTCTTTTTAAAATTGACTTGCGCAGTTTTCATAAAGATTTCACCAATGTTTTGTTTTTTTATTTGGGATTTGTTTGCAAGTAAGAACAGAATCTGCACACACTCAAGAGCAAAAAGATGCCAACAAATCTGTGGTTCAAGAACACATCTTGAAGCTGACACAGCCCAATGCCTTTTCAACTCATCATCACTTTCAGGCATCATTTAGGAATTGAAGCCCTCTAACTGTAAACCTTATACAGTAGATCTTACATTTTTAAAAATCTATTTTAAGACTTTTTAAGGATCCACAGGAGCCCTGACACACACACACACCACACACGTACGTTAAGACTTAATAAGGGTTGAGTCAAAAGCCTTGTCCTTGAGAAGAAAGGGAAAACACAGCCTTATTCTGTCAACTGTAGACTAAATATATATGAGCAAACACTGAAATAGGATTTCCTGCAACATCTTTCTTGTTTTCAAAGTGGAGAACGGTGAATTAGAGTCTTCAAACTAGTCCAAGTCACTATTAACAAAACATATCAGAGCACACAGAGTGCTTTCATCTATGAAGTCACTGTTCAGTCACATTTAGAATGAAACATTCTGAGCTCCAGATAAATACAAATTTAAACAGATCTACCATCGTCTTACCTGACTCGAAACATTTTATTACCCGAGGCACAGCAAAACTGGCCTTGGATCGGTCTAGAACTGCAATTTCTCCCTGCAATAAAACTTTAAAGGAGGCAAAGCTGCGCAGGCAGCAATTGCCGCTTTTGCACAGAAGACATCTCAGAGTTAATCCTCCATCGCAAATTTGAGCTATATAAGGCCCCTTAGGTTGCTGAAAATATCAGGCTTAGAGGTTCCCGAGGCACTCAGCAACGTCTGGAGATTTATAAAAAGCGAGGTACTCAGCACTAATACCAGTAGATGTGAACCTCTGAGGAACAGACTTGGCGCAGCAGCTGTATCCAGTAAAATAACCAGTGTTACACTGACACTTACACTGCTGAGCAGTGTACACTTAACATGAGTGATTTTGCTTATGACTTGTGTATCTTTTCTCATCGGTGGTCTGTGTATTTGGGTGACACCATACCAGAGAACTATACCTACATAAATACAGTAGCCTTTAACATGATTAATGTGTGGCTGGCTGACTTGGGCCCAGGCAAAAACAGATGGATTTCATGCGACTGTCTGTGTTATTCTCCAGGGTATATTTTGGTTTTTCCATCTGAATTTACATGACCAAATGGTAAGGCAAATTATTTAGTAACTGCATGAAATAAATGTCAATTTTTATTTTTTTTATTTATTTATTTTTTGTAAAAGCTCCCCTCAAATTAACAGAACATGTGTTTTATGATCATACACATATCGCTATATGCTTACAATTTACTGCTGAAAGCCAAAAATCTTAGAAGCTCTTTGTATTATATTATAAAAATAATTTTTACAGAGTATATCACTGAAGAGACTCCATCTGTTTATACTTTATAGCCCAGATTTGTGGAAAAATGGGTCGACTTTCAGTAGAAAAAAAAATTGAGTTCAGCTTCTTCTATTATAAGGGTTTAAAATTACATTAACCATCTATTTGACTGGAAAGAAGACAGTTACAGCTCTCATATGACACCCACCTTTTGAATGTAGCTTATGAAATATGAAAGTTATGAAAAATATGACGAAGTGCATTTTGGAACCACCGGTGGTCTCAAGGAGTTGAAGAGGTTAAGAAACTTTCCAATCCCTTATCTGAAATCATTTGAGAGTCTGTTTATTCCTTTCCCTCAACAGGAGACAAAGATAATCAGTTTCTTCACAGATATGTTCATAACTTTCTTTTTTTAATCTGCTGGGTGATGTAGGCCTCAGACAGACTCATCAGTCTTCTTGTACAGTGTGGCCCACACAGCGGAGCACTTAGTAACCGCCTGTTTTAAGATATTAGCTTTATTAATAGGGTAATAACTAGATGATGCTCACACAAAAGGTCTGCAGTATTCAGCTGACCTCTAAAAATGTCACAACTTTTTGGACCAGATCTTGGCTTCAAGTTGAGCTGGTTGTTTTAAATGCATGGAGAAACTAACACAGTGAGTTGGATGAAGCTGGATGAAGTCTTAGATTTGTGGACTGTGAGAATATTTAACATATTCCTTTCTAAATTTTATTTGAATGAAACATCTTAGAAGCCTGTAAGCAACTCCATCCACATAAACAAGAGTATCAGGGCATGGCTATGGCAAATTAAATGTTATTGAAGAAGCACAGGTAGGTATCATGCATGGCGTCTTAAAGGAAACGTTTACCGAAAAATCAATATTACAGAATTTCACGCTTATCCTAAATGTAGTCATGAAGTTGAGCGTTTAGTATCTGAAGTTTGCTTCTTTAGTTTTGCAGTGTAGCTATAAGGCCATTAGAAGCAACGGGAGACTTTGGGTGACATAGACGTATATGTGAACATTACATTAGCCTAATAACTCATAGCAAATTTGATATTTATCCATGAACCGTTAACCATTCCTTTAAGAACAGACATAAACTGACCAACGGTAGTTTGTCTTAGTTTCTGAATGCTGTCGTAGCCGCAGTTCAAAACAGTGGCCTGTACTAACGTTACAAATCTGACCATTTGTTTCTGAGGACAGTTCAGCCTGGACTGCTGACTGAAGACAGACAACAGGAACCCGCTCCGCCGCAGTGTTGCAGGCTGCGCCGTTATCGTTACTTTACCTTGGCTTGGAAATGTATTCCGTGCTGAAAAGCCTCGTCGTTATGAAGTGGCACCCTGGAGTCCGCCACATCGTCCACAAGGTTGTACCTGTTCCTGCCGGGCATTTTCCAAAGGGACGTGCCCGTCCCTGGCCAAGAAATGTGTCCACCAGCTGCCCACCGTGACCGTCCACCAAAACACTGTTTTTCTTAACGGTTAACCAGCCGCGAAAAAGGCGCGAAAGCGAAACGTCCGCTGCGCGAGGACACCCATGGTGATGATGGGCTCGTCTCGGCTGTGGAGTGAAGTAGCTCGGTGCGGTTTTTTTTTCCTCCCGAAAAAACACCGGACACGTTTTTCTTTCGTCCCGAGAACAACGGTCAAAGCGGTTGTTTGAGTGAGGTCCGCCGTCTCACAGCGCCGCCGGTCAGTCACAGGCTCCTCAGAGCTCCTCACAGTTCGGCTCTCCGTTTTATTTACAGTGTCGGCTCGCCGAGCTTCTCCATTGGACCAAAGTTCTGTCACGTGACGGCTTTCCATAGAGATGGAAGCTAACGTGATTTCTCCCCACCCGTTTTTCGACAAGACCCGCCCTCCTCTTCTGGGATTGGCCAGCACTCGCCCGTTTCCTGAAACAGGATTGGCTAGTATGAACTATTATCCAATGCCAGCGCAAGGATGCACGCTTTGTAAGAATACAGGTGGAAAAAATGGCTGTCAGGGTTTGTTGATGTTTAACAACTCACTGAACTCAAAGTGCTAAGATATTGCATATTTTTGGTACAAAATTGATCTAACCTTGAAAAAAGGAAAAAACGCTGCTGAAAAAGACCATTAAGGAAGGCTAAACTGTGAAACTGTCGAAATACGTAATTGCGAAATTGATCCAATGCCCGTTTGATCATATTTCTGTATGGAGCTGTGGCCAGAAATCTGAATAAACGTTGTGAACTTACTTGGATTCGCCTAACAAGACACTGAATCAAACTTCAGACACTGAATCAAAAACCCTCTCACATGATGGGTCGTAAATGGTTTAAGTATGAGTCATCTAAAAAAAGCCTTTTCAAGAAAATATGCATATATGCCATAAAGTTAATGTAGGAATAAAACATAATTGTTATTGAAGGAAACCTCTTTGTAGGTCATGCAACATGAAGATTAAATGATACTTAAGTCTTTTTTAACCTACTCAAAATCAAACTGTTTTAAACTGGAATTTGGGAACATCAGAAAAAGACATTACATAATAATTCTTTTCAGAATTTCTGCATGATTAATTTTTTTAGATATAGACAAGACATTGTGAGCATTTTGATGTGAAGTAATTAATTCTACAGAAACTTACTGACTCCAATTTCTTTAAAATAGCAGTGATAGAAACCAGGGGTCACAAAGTCTACAACACAAATGTAGCTATTTTATTTGCTATCCAAAACAATCAGTAACCTATATATGACTTCTGGTGTTGATAATGGTAAAATAGCAAGAAATCTAAAAGATTTCTTTGAGCACTACTTTGCCTGCATGTACCTCTCCGTGAGTAGATTACAAAAGTATGTTTTAGACCAAAAGCTTATCTCAAACTGAGCATGCAATAATGTCTTAGCCATCAAGCAAAGTATTCTTAACTATTTAATGCAATTACTTCCTCTAATGTAGATTTTAGAGGGATTAAATGCTTCAGGTTCTTATCACCACCACTGTGCACAATTCTGACTCATTCTGACAATTCTGAGCATTTCACATCAAACCACTCTGAACAGCTATGTTTACATCTTAATGATTTACAAATCTTTTTCATCTTAATGATAAATTAATGGAATTCCCTTTTAAGGACTGTAACATAAATTTAGCCTGAGATTTATGCTTTGATAAAATGCAGAAGATTTAAGGACAGATACTAAGCCATGTGATATGTGCAGATTCTTTTTCTGTTGCTTTTTGTGAGCTATGCATCTAAATGCAAGTTAAGTTGATGAAGAATTAGGCCTGTGAGACTTTTTCTTAAAAGGAGACAGAGCGCCATCTGCTGACTAAAATATGGAACCTTAGTGTGAAGACAGAAATTTCAGTTTTACCTGACTTTTGTATTAGTCTTTAGCAAGTGATTTCTTTTTATGTGGAGCCATAATGGGGCCATAGTTCCTGTTCTGGGGCCAAACAAATGCCTTCAAATTCAAATAGCTCCATAATTATCTCTTAATATCTCTAAATACTTATAATTTATTATCCACATTGACCACATGCATTATTTCGCGTGTGTGTGTGTGTTTAGGACTTGAGCTCCAGAGGAAATTTTAGTATTTTTCAATAAAAATAAGCATAATGGTCCACTCTGAGAATAAAATACAAGGACACAAGTAATTGTCATAAGACAGGGCTGCCCAATCCTGGTCCTGGAGGTCTACCAAAACATATTCCATCACAAATCGTAGACATATGTCTCTAATATTAAGATGCCCTTAAAGGCCTTCATTACGATCAGGTGTGTTAGATAAGGGCTGGAGCTAAACTCTGCAGGGTGCTGGCCCCCAGGACCAGGACCCTATTGTAGAACAATTCTGTTCAATGAGTTCAACAACTATGCCAATATGTCAAGTCCAAAATTGTACTCATCATTTGTTTAAAATAAGCCATTGTTTAACATATCAAGGTCGAAAGGTCAGTATGTGTGAAATTTGTCAGAAATTTCCTTTTGACATAAAGCCTCAACAGTTATTTTAAATAGAAGACATTCTAAAAACTCCACATATCATTTGTGTTCTGTGTGCTGAACTGCCTATACTGGCTCCATAAGGTTTGAGGTGCTTGGATCGCCATTTGTGATGTAATTTGCAGATAAATCTGCAGAAATCAATACTGTACCTTACCATTTAACAGACGAAGTTATTGTTTTGCCATAATCTTTGGTGTAGTGACTTTTGCCCACCTCTAAAATGTCTTCTGAGTTTTGATTTTGTTAACTTGCTCCAGAGCTCAGGGGAAAATAGTACTGACCAATGATATCAAATTTCCCCTCTCACTCTCCCATCACAGAGCAAAATTTGACTCGGAAATGGGTCACAGTACACAATAAAAAACATTGTTATTTCACGATTCACTGCATAATTAATTCATTAAAATGTTAACAAAGTCATTCAGAGTGGTTTGATGTGAAATACTCCATTCTAAGGAAACTAATAAGCAAAATGGCTATATTTGTGTTAAAATCATGGCAACCCCTGGTTCCTATGACCATCAATATAAAGAAACCTGAGTCTATAAGTTTTTCTAATATTTCTTTGTTTACCTCTTAATAATTTAATTATGCAGACAATTTGAAAAATGTCAATGGAAGATGTCTGATAGGGTTTAAAGAAGGCAAAGAATTAGTTTGGAAGATAAACATATAACTTTTTATTGGAATTTGACAAAGTTCTATGATTTAACTCTAGGCATGGCACATTATGGAGGGGAATTTTGCTTCCCTCCATAGATAACTGCCTTTCTCTCTTTTTGAATGCCATCTTTTCTAAAGAGGAGCACTCTATTGCAGCTTCAGAGCTGTTTGGGACTACCCTAAGACCAGCTGCCCATGGAGCATACAGGCCATTTAGCAGTTTAGTTGCCCTGGCTGTGTGTGTTGGATTATTGTAATGTTAAACACATGACATTTTCCTTATGCTTTTTGGCAGAGGACAGCAGTTTTTGTGCCAAAATATCTTAGCAGCTCTCTAACAAAATGCTGCCCCACGATGCTTTTAGGTGAAGAGCTGTGTTGGCTTTGCACCAAACATCTCCTGGAATTAGGGCTAAACACTTCAGCTGTGGTCTCATCAGATCAGAAGACATTTTCCTACAAGGTTTTGAGTGAATGTATCTACTGGCATAATTTAAATGAGCTTGAATATTCTTATTTTGTTAGAAACAAACACCCTAACACACAGCCAGGTCTTGTGGAGAACATGTGAAATGATTGTTATCGGAGTTTATAATGCAAAGAAACAGCTACCTAGTAAGCTGGCTTTCTCTGCTGATCGCCTCTTTGTATTAATTCAGCTCTGAAAACTGAATTAGGGTTAACAGAATGTGTGCTCTAAACCAAAGACAACCAGCCAGCCATGTGTGGTTAACCCATTCAAATCCCAGGCCTTTTACATTCCTTATTATTATGCTTATTATTCAGTAACTACATGGTCTACAATGTAAACTAGCTGAATTACTCCTAAGTTATAGACGTGTCAAAAGGTTGGACCCACTGACAGTGTCCTAATATGTGTAGTGTTATTATTTGTAACTAAATGATCAGCTCCCACTCCCAGTTTTTGAAAGCTGAGAACTGATTGCCAAAGTCTGAGCCAGACGGACCAACAGGAAATCTTATGAGCCAGTACAGCCTTTCAGCAGATAGAACACACATGAAAGCCAGAGTTTTCAAAAAGACCTCAATTTATAATTACTGTTGATGAGGGGTCCCAAATATGGTTACTACCAGACTGATCTTTTAACTTGAGCAACAGATTTTTAACAAATAGGGCAAAATCCCAGGAGAGCAGTATAGTAAGTTGTAGTAACTATATTGTATTGCGTATTGAAGTCAATGGACTGAATCATTCTACAGCAATTACTTGTTTCACTGTGTTTTAGTATCGAAGCTTTTAATCTCAGTGAACCACAATTTTTAATTTTCCTGTTAAAATCGCTCATTTTTTCTGGGGTGCTGTGCCTTGATTTCTGAACTCCTCATGTTTTTCACTGCTCACAAGTAAACACAAACTCACACAAATTATACTGTAAAAAATTGCCAGCTTTTTGTTTGAATTACTTCCATATATTGCTACACTTAGATTTGGCCAATTGGATATATGTGATCAGGCATAACATTATGACCACCTCCTTGTTTCTACGCTCATTGTCCATTTTATCAGCTCCACTTACTATATAGGTGCACTTTGTAGTTCTACAATTACAGACTGTAGTTCATCTGTTTCTCTGCATACTTTGTTAGCCTTGGGCATAGAAACAAGGAGGTGGTCATAATGTTATGCCTTTTCGTGTTTGCCCTGTCTTAAATTCTTGATGGAAAAGCCTTGGAGAAATTATTTTAACTATTTTTCTCGTCTTTGTTTAATTTTTATGACTTTAAAAAGACAAGTAATCTAAAAGTAATGGGAAGTAATCAGATCACATTAATATTATATAGTAATCCTTTGGACTGAATTACAATCCTTTTTTTAACAGGTAATCAGTAATCTGTGATGTAATACATTTTTAAAGTAACCCACCCAAACCCGTCAGTATCACTCTGGAGTGCGTATTTCTCAAAGAGTATTTTGTATTGTGCACATTCCAATTGTACAAACTGATATTGTTTCTACACTCATTGTCCACTCTATCAGTTCCACTTACCATATAGGAGCACTTTGTAGTTCTGCAATTACAGACTGTAGTTCATCTGTTTATACTTTGCTAGCCC